AAAGTTCAGTGCACACGGCTCATTCTTCGGTGGAGTTGTTCTGCACTATTTCCTCCTCCTTTAAGCAAATAATACTGCACAGCTCGCACTTGGCAAGAGTATCAATCGTACTTGCCATCACGTGCTTACAGCTTAGATAAAATTAACGATATAGCGTTGGTAGTAGCAGAAGTTACGGTGTGAGAAACAGTAGCTGGATGACTTTGGAATAAATAATTTACTTATCTTTTTATGTATACATTGTTAAATTGTTTGAAGTTTGGGATTAAAAAATAAATAACTCAATAAAATCATTTCTCACAGTCTACCTCTTACTTAAACACCCTTTACTTAAACACACGCTTGCACTACACGACCACACATGTCAGTAGCTTTACGATTTTCCCGGTTGGGGCGGTGCCGCGCTGGTGAGATACCTGCTTGGGGAAAATAACCGCAAGCCGAATCTCTCCATCCAGCGGGAGAAGATCGCCACCTCCCGCGATACAAGCATATGGGACTAATGACTTCGTCAGTTGCCACGCCTAGAAACGCTAATCAGACGATCGACTTCAGTGAACCTGCCAATATAGCTATCCTTGCAGTCCATGTAACGTTGTAACGACTGAAAATGTATTCTCCAGTTTTCACAATGCTAAATGTTAAAATTTGGTTCTGTATGCCTGGTTGTAGATTGTGCCAAAAAATTAAAAGCAAATGAGATAAACATGTTTGTTAACTAATTAGAAAATAATAATGAATGATTTATAATTATTTCTGCAAAGAGTGGATGCGCCCAAAAATTGTCGTTGTTGTAAACCATTGGGACGCTGAAACAATTTTTTTACCGAACTTGTGGGATATTACGACTACCTTAAGATAAAACTTTGTTGTGGAAGACGTGAAATTTGTTTCTGAAAAATTAGTATTTTTGATTTATTTGTTGTTTGGACATGCTTACTATTAATCTTTCAATTCTAAATAAAGTCCTACCTATTATTTTCACTGCTCCACAGTTGTTAAATAGTTTCGGCGAGGAAGGAAAAAATTGGAATGTAAGAAAACGAATTTTCCAAACTTAGTCAGATCGTGTGAAAGAGATGGATAAAATTAATCTGATATTTCGTAAAACATTGTAAATGTTTACAATGTCAAAATATCGTGTATTATCAGATCATTCATTACTGTGGACTATTCTAGTGTAATATAGAACATTAACCTTTTGTTGTCAACGTCAACATTTAAAATTCTTTTTGTGGGCTTCGTAATTTCTCACTTTGTTCTCAAAGTCCTGACGCTCACGGTTTTATTGGTACTGGTCTGGTACAATTATACTTTGCTTCGTCATGTTAAACTTTAAAGTACAACCTCGTCGCTTTAAAATAGATTGGTGTCCTTAAGCTTCGAAGAATGCAAGTCATGTGCTCCCGAAGGGCTCTTCTCTCTGCGTTACCACCCTTGCTCTGGGGACCTCGCACTAAACGGTTTTAAAGGAGAGACATTAATTGCTACCTGAACTTCGTGCTATTGTAAGAGTAGGTGTATATTTTCTCGCCTCCAACCCCCAGACCTGTGATACAATCTAAAACGCTAAATTCATCATTAATGTCTTACTTCAGAACTTAGCGATCATACTTCTAGAGCAGACATGTCAAGGCCGTGAGAAAGATAACTAGCTTTTTAGAGTTCGCGGGCACTGCGTTCAGGGCAACTGCCGCGTGGTTTGGAAGTAAGGTTTGTACAAAATGCTCCAGGGTTCTGTTGCATCACTGGATGCAACCTCCCCAAGGCAGTCTTTTGGAGAATTCTTAAGAGAACTCACTCGAAAGTTATTCCCCTGAAAGCTATATGAACTCCTGTATCCTTTACTGGAGTAAGGAAACGGTCCATTAAAATAGAAATATAATTGTTATATTGGAAATTGTCAATTGAGAGTGAAATTAAACATTTTGAATCGAAAAAAGATCATTGATTCGTAATCACGTTCACTGAAGAGTGCAATAATTTGCATTAATTTCCTACTTTGAAGTTGGGAGGTTTAACAAAGATTCTAGTCTGTTACGAGCTGTTCTCGTGCAAGAGATTTCACTTTTTATATTATTGGATAGATGACATGTAACAAAATGATTTAATTCAATATAACACAAAACGAAACAAGGGAAGAATTGGCCATTCAAACATATTTCTGCCCCTTGGCAATAATGATAATATAAGGCAGAATTTAAAAAGAAAATAAGAACGAAATAAATTTATTAGTAGAGTAAATAAACAAAATTCAAACGGTTGTCTGATTAAAACATCAGGAAAGAACATTTCCGTATGAAGTTGTCATTCTTAGTAATAGTTAAAGTACGCTCTCCACATACATTCCCCACTTCAGCGTGTACCCTTTTTTCGTAATTTGAAGGGGAAATAAAAGCGGGATCGGGGGAAGTTGCCTGCCCTTGCAGGAGAGCCGAGCTTCAGGCGAGCCAGTATGTAACTCACACGGGCGCATTTTGCCATGCCTATTCTAGAGGAAGAAATGGAGCCACATTTGATTGAAAACCTCATTGTGTGTACATTAATATCAGCATTTCCAAAATTTCATGCAAGTCTTAGAGAACATAGAGTAATGAAACGGGAACGCGTTGAATGATAGAGAACGATAAAACAGCGTACATAACGTGTGGTTGTTTTACTCTTATTAAGTGTATTTTACATAGTTACGTCGTACAAAATTTAGATTGATGTAAAAATTATTTTATCAATAATGTGGGCGAGGCCCTTAGTGACAACTAGTTACTTGCATTTCTTCCATGGGGTTATGGTTTCCTGGTTCAGAGAACCCTTTATCCTTCATTCTTTAAACATGGTCGTAACTTTTTTCAGAGTCGTGTAGTTCGTGAAACAAATGTAACTCGCGGCCAACAGAAATGTGTGATCCAGAGGTCTCAGCACTCCTCAAGTCGAGTAGAGTAAAATCTTCAACAAACCTTAAGTCGAATATGCTGTTGCTCTCGGTATTCCTCCCATACTGGCTATCTATGACTGATGACACAGGAAGGTACTTATAATTTAATAAAAATTTAATATCACATTTCTTTTCTTGCGTTTACTTTTGACTCACTAACTTACTAAATAGTGAAATCTCTAGTTTCTATACATTCTTCATATTGTAAGTTTCTATAACATCTTCAAACTGGGAAGATATCACAACTCCGAAAATTAAAGATGCTTCGTTTTTTACGATTAATTCCACCTTAAAAATCGGTTTATTGATCAATACTTGAAAATAGTGTTTACTGTTGCTAGCATTTGTTGTTGAAATAAAATTTTAATCTGTTCGTGCAAGACCTAATTCAGAAATACATTGATGAGCCTTTATCTTTGCTGGAAATAATTCCAAGGCGGGAATAAAGTTCTGAAATTTCGTAACTTACTTCCTGGTCCCCCCCCCCCAATGAGGCATCGCCCCAATCGGGACAAGCTGGGTGGGCAATTAATGAAATTCGTAAATCAAAGAAGTCCCCCATTGACTCTGTTGCAATCAGCTCAATACATCTTAAAGAACTATATTATTTTAGTACGGCAGGCGAATCGGTTTCATGCACGAGAAATCAAGAGAAGTATCTAATGCTGACATTGCACTCGCACAGTCGCTACGCATTGAAACTATTGCAAAAGATATTAGTTCCGTCACCTATTGGATGAGAAAATCTCTTTTGTAAGAAAATAAGAGCTCAAGAAGAAGAAAGTAGTTAATTTTCATTCGTTGCTTCATCCCAGAGTGTATCAATCTTCCTAAAGGATAGCTCCGCGACTCGTCAAAGAATCGCGAGCAGACATTGGTCTTATGCAAGCAAGCCTGTCTCGGTTTCCGATTGCCCTCGCAAGTGAAGGAGAGGGCGACTTGCGTCATCGCTCTCGGGCGGATGGACGGACGAGCCAAAATTAAAACCAGCCACAAGTGCGGTGTAGTGGCCGCCAGGAGGGCGCTTGCGTCGAGACGGTCGGGGAGCTGTGCGTTGAGCGGAGGCCTGGTCAGCGCGCGGGACACGCGGCTCGGCGGGCGTGGGGTGGCTGCACAGCGCGTTGCAGGTGATTGGGGGTGTCGGGTGAGTGGTACCCTGCGCTAGACACCGGAGCCGACGCGCCGTGGAAATCGCTGTGAAGGAATGAAAAGGTCGTTTCGTTTTTGGCTGGGACTTTACCCTACTCAATGCGAACATTCTTGACTTGTGTACTTACAACCATACCGTCACTTTTAGCCTCGTGGAGGTTTGCAATAGATCGCGTATTCTGGTCGTGTGCTTCTAGTTTTCTCTTTAGATAGTATAACTTCCGCTTGACAAATTGATGTACGCGTGTTCAATTGCTATATTTGTGTTTCTGAGCATTACATTTCCAATTTTCTGCGTCATATTCGCGTATTTGTTCGGAAATATAAGTAAGTGGGGGTGTGGATTTCTTAGCAAGCGTCCATGAATGCACATAGAAGAAATAGCGCCCATGATTATATCGAATATCTTTCTTCCGGACAATCTGTGCATTTCAATGGTAGAAAATCAGGGATTGATATTTTCCAATTACTGTAATTGCATTAATGACTTTGATATTTCATGTAATAACGACTGTGAGCACTTCATGGTGCTGATTCAAGAAAAGGTACAACGTAAAGGATTTCCATGTACCTACGTTGTTGATCCAACAAACTCTTGTATGCACATGCAATGAGCAGTACATTGATCATGGTCTTATTTTTTTCTAATCACGGGAACTCGAGTATTAGAAAAGTAAATATTTCTGGAGGATCACTTGAAAATCTAAGAGGAAAAACTGCTTGGGGTGATTTAACGCTATAAAAAGTACGGTGTATTTTGGACTCTCAAAGATTTTTTTTATTATGAATAAAAAAGGTACAAGTGACAGGGATTAGAAACAGAACCTGCCGGCTTACACGCAATCCCTTATGTCTTACCTACTGAACCACTTTTGATACTGTTTTCAAAAAAACTAACTAATATTTATTTTATTTTCAGGAATAACGGTACAAAGTACCCCCCAATTGCCTCAAAACACAGATAACTCAGGGTCCAAACGGCGTAAGAAGAAGCGCAGAAGGAGGCGACGACGTGGAGGGGTAAGTACAGTTTTGACGTCATTGTCGAGAAAACTCGTTGTCAGATGTCGTGTTGAGATTGTGAATGTACAAGATTTATCGGAAGTATAGTGTTCAATGTAAACAAAACTGCATATACCTTAGGTATACATTATCGTAATGTATTGATCCCTGTTAACGGTAAATTCTTTGTGTTTAACTTCATCATAGTTTTATTATTTTTATTGTACGAACTTATGCCGGTACGAATGTATTTCAATTGAAGAATGAAAGATGTAAGTGGAAACGGATTACGAGAAAGAATGCTGTAAAATAAGTGAACCTCGCACTTTCTATTCAAAATAAAAAGTTTTTTGATGGTTTCCTCAGAGAACGCACAGGTAGGAAGAGCTCGACGGATTGCAGGCTGGCTCTGTCAGGGGTATCAGAGCGGGAGGAATAGAACAAAATTTGTTTAAACATAAAGGTTGATTCAATGTAGTGTTAAACCGTGAATGCTTGGGACGCTTTTTGTGTTAAAAGAAGTTTTTTCACATATTATATTGGAATTAGTTAAAAATAAACATTTTATTATCAATTATTCGTTGTTGACTTGTTTTCCTAGATAATAAATGGTCTCTTTTTTGGCACCAAGCACTTGCGTGTGAAAGTATCATTTACAATTAAAACATAATTGTTTCTATTGAGTTCCGATTGAGTAGGCTCCAAACTTAGAAAATTTAAAGACTTTTTTAATTTTTTTTTTCAGAAATTGAACATGTTTATCTGTGTACTTTTATCCATGTAATGTAATTTTTCGAGAGTAGCGCGTTACTTCTGCAACAATATCAACGCGTAAAACGGGTTCGTTACTCCAACAATGTTTAGACGGCTGATGGTGGTAGCCAAAATAGCATAGATGCCTACAAAACAGCATTTAATCGGTTGTAGTGTTTAGTGGAATGCCTACAAATTAATCTGCAGAACTAGGTGCTGAATGAAACTTTTAGTGAAATAGGTTGAACAAGAATGGATAAGATATTTAATCCAATTCTTCAAGAAGTCCTCTGAATGTGGTTTAAACTTTCTTTAAAACTAGAAGCGGTAAATTTAGGGTTTACATCTTACCCTCTTTCTGTATAAACATCTGAATATATGGTATAAGCTATAAATAAGGTTATATTTCCGGTGCTGGTACTACATTAAGAGTTTCATCATTCTGAAAATCCCACTTTATAGGGGATATAGTACTTATTATAGAACTCAAAGTACCATATCACCAGAAGTTTCTGTAACCGGACCAGACACCTTTGAACACTTAGTGATAGTTTTGTATAGAAACCTGAATAAAATTATAAAAAACGTTTATCAGTGATTGCGTAGTGATGCTGTTTGATAATGAAGAATAAAATTGACAACAAAAGTTTGAAGCCGCTTTGACCCCAGAAGATTTTATAAACTGAACGAGAATTTAATTAGGGATAAAGACTGTTGTTTGTTGTGTTTTTTAATGTGGTATTTTACACGAAAACTTTAATCTAAATTTAAAACATACATAGTTGCATTTTTTTAAGAGGTGCTTCTACTCAATACACTGCCGAATACAAACAGAATAAAAAGCAACTACTTGCGAACAGTAGTGCCAAATGATGTCAACAAAGGTCTTCAACAAAGATGAAAGGTATTAATTTCCATCGTTGAAGAAATTACGTGAACTAAATTTTATGTATTATTACGAACATTGTTTATTTAATAGCAAATTATTTTACCACAAAGCACAAAGGAGACATCAAGAGGTCGAGAAGATCCATGACTATTTCATGATACAATAAACTGCGAATCTTATGACACGCTTATACTATTCAAACCACTAGCTTCAGGACGATGGGGAAGAAGTCCTGTGAGGCCTCCACATTTGCTACAATCTTCCTCACGAACGCCTTTCCGTATTCGAATTCACTATTTGTTCTTTCTCTATTACAATTTCTTCTTTATCCACAACTTTTCATTTAGTGTTCAAATATCTGCCCCAAAAAAAGGGATTCTAGCATATATCTTATGCGCATAGCGCGAAGTTCATTTATTCGCTAAATGAATTTATTCGCTAACGTGAATTCGCATGCACTCGTAGGGCTATCCTTCGCGTGAAAATACGAAACCTGAGATTGGCATATTATCTTTACTAGCATATTGTCTCTTATTGTAACTGTGTGAGAAAATGGCGAACGTCAAAAGCACCTGCGAGCAGAATGGCGTCGTGTTTGTAACTTAAGGTGTACTGATGCTTCGCTATGCGTATCAAATTTCACTAGTCCAAATTTATGACGCGATTATCACAGAACATCCTTGAACCACGTCATTCTCTTCTAGTGTAGAACGGCTATGTTTGAACCCATCCAACGCCTTTTATTCCAAAATACTTTATCATAGGTAATACCACGAGTGCATGGAAATTGTTGATAAACTCCCAACTTGCCAAGCGAGGAGGGGATTTATCTCAGAATTTCCAAAGCACGAGTGGCATTTAATAGGACTATTCTATGAGTGAAATTATGTTCAAGAGTTCCAACATGCGCCAAATATTGAAAATAACTGAAAGCTATTTTAAAATTGCATGTGACACAGCTATCGATGTAGTACCGCCACCTAAGAAGACGAGTCAGTTTGATTGGCCAGTAGGGAGAAGCGGTAAGAACCATCTGATAGAAGAAGCGATCAACTTTGAGATACACCGCCTTGATTGGGGTATTTTGTACCTATACTTACACACTATAGTTTTAATTTCATGAGTGGAATGGTCTATTAAATTGCTCGTTCGTTTGATCTACAAAACAGTGTTCTCATTCCCACCACTCTTTCTTCGCTTTCGTTCACCGATCTCAACTCGTCGGAGTAGTTATGAGAGATAAAACCCCCAAAATCTCCTCCCCAAACTACAAAAAGCAAGCACAGAAACAACAGTATAGGTGAAGTTAGACTCCTGAGGCGAAGGTGCTATTTCGATAGAAAGTGAACATTGATCTTACTTCCCAAAACCAGATCTACATACCCCAAAAATTACAAATGCACCATTACAAATTGGCAGAGCAGGGCAAGTATGTGTTCTCCCCCCTCAGAGATTGGGTAAAAAGTACAAAAAATGAAATGAACACAAAAGGTCTATGAAGTCAAATTTTGGCAAAGTCGTATGCTGAAGTTTTTCAATATGATTATAAGTAGTATTAATTTTAAATAGAAATGTAAATTTTGATGCAACATAACCCCCCTCTGCCCATCCCTGTGAAAATCCCATCAATATAGCCTCGACAGTAGGTCTCCATTCAATGGTGTCTGAAGTATTGAGCAAGTTTTGTTGACATCACAGGTTTAGTCAAAGAAACGAGTAGGATTTTAAGAAGTGTGGTAATGCTGTCTTAATCATATTCGGAAACTCCATTTATTGTATTGCAATTAAGTGAAATTAATTTTGACTTCAGTTAATGTTCCCATACTTCAAATCATTCCTATTTGAAGAAAAGAAAATTGCATTAGATAGGATTAGAATAGGTTTCACGAGTTATTAATAAATATATTCAAAGTAATGTTCTAAATAAAATCTCCTCAGAAATACTTGACGAAATGCTGTTAACTCCATTTATGAACAAGGCACATGGATAGGTTTCTGGACAGGAAAAAGTCAAATTACTGCAGATTAACGATAGATAAGTGATTTGAGAGATCATTTGGCCCAAAATTTTATGACTGCTGACAGGTGCAGGAGTTTGTGCCTGCAGCTTTCAAAGCTATCAAGTCAAAGGCATCCTGGAAAATAAAATTGTTAAAACCACTAAATAAAAAATAATGTAGGCTAAAATTGAAGTATGAATCAAACATCTGCCAAAAAGTGCAGCAGTTATGTGAAGCTAATTTTGGGTCATGCTTCAAAACTTCAATTACATCCTCACTGAATTTCATAGTAGTTTGGACTAAGCTGATAACAATAAATGGAAAGAAGTGTTCAGGTATTGTTGGAAATAACTGATTGTTGGGATAGTATTAACATAAAATATTTGCGAGGACCTACCATACCTCATTTGTTGAAAATATATATCCTGTATAAAATAAAAGATCAAAGGAAAATGAAATCTATTTTTTATAGTCAAAAACAGAATGAAATATATGATCTGTTCAATAACTGGTTCATACTAGGTTACTGTTCAGTACAATCTGACTAGTTTTATTATACATATCCAAATAGAATGTGAAGAATTAAACTTATGTTCTAATTATTTTTCGTATTAGTATTTTTTATATTTCTGATATTACTTTGACTATTACTATTACTATTACTGTTATTACCATTAATATTAGTATTGATTGCTTAGTGATGGTAGCAGAAACTGGCTGCACGTGTTACTGCACAAAATAAATGAGAAATCTCATTTAGGTAAAACACATATTTTAAATTAGACCTAATTGTTGTTTCTTGGTTTGTTACAAAGGGATTAAATTCTTTATGTATGAATATAAAATAATTATTCCTAGAGACTATGTCTTTATCTTTCTGCGTGACCATTCTAAAATAAGTTGTTACAATTTGCAAACCCTTGACCAATTTTTTTATTCACAACTCATTTGTTGGTCTTTAGTTTCAAATTTTTTGTTGATGTTTCTGCTGCTCATTGTTTTTTGTTATATTTTGTTGTTTTTATTTATTTTATTTGAATTATATCTGTTGCTTATATTAAGTATTAAATTTTTAGGGTACTTTTTATAAAGATATTAGGTATGCATTTAAATTCCTCCTGTGCACACAGAGCTACTTATAATAAATTTGTTCTTTCGATGCAATTTTAAACATTATATTTAAACATCATGCTGTGTATTAAATGTTTGTCTAATCAAATCTGTAACAATAAATTAATTTTAGTGATTCAGTGAATTGATATTAACTCTATTGCAAAATATTATTTGGGTTGACTTGACAGCAAATATTTGTTCACATTCTTTCTACACATTTATCATTTTTTCAGCAGTTTTTCAGAAAACGCAGCATGAAATTGGGGATAAAGATTTACTGGCAGAGTAATTCGGAATAGGCATTTTGTGTGGATATTTTGAATTTGTTAAAATTAATTGTTTAAAAGTTAGCAAATTCACTTCTTTACATATTAACGAATTGTGCTTTATAATAAATTATTATGTGCAGGTTGATGATGGCTCTGAAGAAACAAGTTCTGATGAAAAGGATTTAGAGGAGCCTGCAAGCCTAACAAGTCAAGAATCTTCTCAAGAAGTTGAATCTGATTCTAAGAACAGTGCAGGAAGTGCGAGTTGTCCTACAATTGTTGGATGTCCAGAGCTTCCAGAAAGAACACCAGAATCCCCATCATCGTCTCCATCCCTTTCTCCATCGTTATCCCCTTCACCATCACCATCTAATACAACAGAAGATAAGACTGCTTTGCCCAAAGTAAATTGTGAAGACACCAAAACACAGCAGGAGAAAATAAATGTAAGATCTGAAGGTACCACTGAAAACGCAGAGACATTGGAAACTAAAACATCATTACAGGGTGCTGACTTGTCTTGTATTCCAAATTTCGATGTTCATAAACTAAATGAAACAAATCTCCAAACACCAACTATTATTCAAAATGGTGATTCTAATGATGGCCCAGTATTAGTGATAGATGCTTCTAAAACAAATGGAAATTGTCCTGTAGTTGGTGGCAAATCTTTTGAACTAGACAATAATTTACCTGTAACAAATAGTTTTTCAGTGTCTGCTTGTGGGGACTCAGAGGTAGTGAATAGTGCTGGATTTACAAACGAGTGTGTTACTAAAAATAATGTACCAATTTCAAAACAAAAATCCAAAGGAAAAAAGGGATTAAAAAATAATAAGCAAAAAGCTCAATTTCCTATTCAAAATGGTTTTTCAGAAGTGCAAATAAATGAACATTCTTCAAAATCTCACGGCACTCCTACAGAAATGGATGGAAATGAGACTGGAGGCTTGGCAGAGGATAAAAGTCCTTCCATTTCAAGACAACCACAATTAACATCAAAACAGGATAATGATTTTAAGAGTGAAAGTGAAACTTCTTCAGGAAGTACATTACACTTGGATAATAATATAACTAAAAACAAAGTAGATTTGCATTCTCATTCACCTGAAGCTCCCAAAAAACCTGTGAGAACACATCACCAAAATCGGCAGCAACCGAAATCACAGGTAGCTTCAACTCAGCAGCAGCAACAAGAAGATGAGAGTTTAAATTTTTCCTCTGTTATACAAACAGGCAGTGAGACTATAGGAGAAACAAATCTAACCCATCCTGCTGCTGTACTTCAGTCAGATTCAAAAACAAATACTGATGTTCCTGTGACAGTTGTGCCTGTATCTGAATCAAAACCATCTGAAACAGAACTGGAAAACTCTGAAATTAATTTTAATAAACGTGATATTATTGAAAGTGATTTGCTTAATAATAAGCAATCTGTTCAGCTTGAGAGAGCTGTTTGTGAAGAAAAATTTAATGCTCACGCAGAGAAAGACACTGAAGCTGCAAGTCAAGAACATAAAGAATTGCCCAATAAAGAAACTCCTATTACTTCTCAAGATGAACAAAAGATTTTTAGTAAATTACCCAGTACAGGTGATTTGAGTACAACAGAAACTCAAAAAGGCATTGAGAGCTGTGATACTAATGAGAATAATAAAAATGATGCTCAGAAGTCTCTATCTAGTGTCCCTGAGTGGGCTACATCAACACCCCCTATTCCTCCACCAAGGCGCAAAAAATGGCAACCAAAGAGTTCTGTTGAACGTCCTCCTACTCCTGGAAGAGAATTAGAAGTAAAGAAACGGGGAGAAATTGTTGACGATAGTTCCAGTAGCTCAAGTCGTGAAAGTGAGGAATCTGTAATAGATCTTCTGTCATCTAGTCCTAATGATAAATCAAAAGATACTAAAGAATTCCTGCATGAAATTAGATATGTAAAATCTGATACAAATATAACTACCAAAACTCTTACAGGCTTGGGTGCATCACCACGTACTGAATCACATAAAGAACTTGTGCAAAATATAAAATTGTCAAAAGGAAGGGGTGAAGCAAGAGTACATGAATTAATTGATGAGCATGCCTCGAAACCAGATGAATCCATATGCATTTCTAAAAAATCTATACAGATTTCTAAAGGGGACCAATCTCGAAACAAACAATCTGAACTTAAAAGTGGATTACTTAGAGAGGAAACTATTTCTAATGTTGGCACACACAACATTCATGTAGACACAACAGATAAAGCAGCTAAAACATATGCTGATGATTTGGCATGTCAAGTATTAGATGAAGGCCTATCAAGTGCTGCTACCTGTATAAATAAAACATACCAGACACAGTCTCTCTCACTTACAGAAGCAGTAACACAATGGCTTCATAGCCAAGATTCAGAAGAAGTTTTACAGGTACCTCAGTTACTAGATTCTGAGAGTGATATTGAAGATGTAGAAGAAGCAAGTGAAGAAGAAATTCAAATGACCGGTCCAAAAAACGTGTATCGCAACCCTTTACTTGCACCATCATGTGAAGCAGAAAACATACGTGATGATGCAGGTATAAGGGTTGCGAATCTTGAAAACAAAAATACTCTAATTATACAGGAAGAAATTGATACGCTGGAAGTGAATGTGTTACCCGGTTCAGAATCTATGAAAAATTCAATTTTCAGTGAAAATCTTGTAAACGAATTAGAAAATCAATATTTGATTGAACCTAAAAAACAAAGTTGTGAAATCATTAATGATAAATTGAGTAGTAGTGTAAGCAGTTCAAATTGTACACTAATGCAAAAAGATGAAGAAAAGAATATGTTGGAAAAGTCAGACACGAAGGATAGTAGACCAGATACCCAAGGCCCCAGATCCGAAGAGTGGGATAGTTTTACAAGCGAGTCAGTAGAATACGATGCTGATTGGGAGTGTGATCCTGTACCATTCAAAAATTCATCTCAAGTATTCACTAGAGAAGATGAAGATTCTAATTTATCCCTGGAATCCACTGATGATAAATGTTCTTACATGTGTGACCCCAGTCTTTCTGTTGCAAAGTACTACAGGCTTGGCCCACCTCCAGAACGGGAAATTAATGTCAAGGATGAAGCAAGTGATATTGATTCAGGCAAGGATGATGCTAATGATGATGAGGGAATGGATGCTTTAATACATTTTAGAAATGAATTGGAAGAGTATTCCCAAGAAGGAGTAAGTTCTTTTTCTCAAAGGTTGCCAATGGGCAGCCAACCAGTGTGTCCTACAAGGAATAAAGTAGAGGAAGAAATACTTCCTCGTAAAAAGAGTGAGGAAATTTATGATTTATCGTATGATGGTTTCACTTCTGATAGTGGTATACACTCAGAAGAATCATGTAATGAAGATAGTCATAGGGCAAGTAATAGTTCAAAATCCATAACTGAGGCATTTCAACATCATGTTCATAAGTCAGCTATTCTTCTCAGCCACTTAGGAGCTGAAGGTCCTTTTCCTTGTGGTGGAATCTGCTGCATATTACAATGACAAAAGCGGATATTTTTCTTATTTCAAGAAGATACCCAAATTGAAGGGTGTACGTGTTCAATGGTATTCCAAAATGACTTAACTGGCAGAGTTGGTACATGAATTGTTCAATAATAAAGAGAGAAAATCACCATCTTCTTGTTTTATTGTTGTAAAAATTTGAAATGTTATGAAATTTGTAACTTTGTCGTTGTTAAGTTTGATCAGCTATAAACTGTCAATAAAATAATGAAAGACTGCTAAGCAATATATGCATATGTAGAAAGTGGGTATGTTGTTATTTTAAACATGTATATATGCATGCATCTTTCTCTAAAAATGTGAAGCTGTTATTATGCAAATGGGCATATAGTGACTAAAATATGAAATTGTGAGAGCGTAAACACGAGTATTAACTCGTGAAATACTGTTTGTTAATGTAGTCTTTAAAATGTTAATATAATATATTTTCAATTTCATTTTATTATCAAGATTGTTAAAAATGCTTTTTTTAAATGATGAAAAGAAGCTATTTTCAAAATATTGTTCCATGCATTTAACGATATTGCTGAAAATGCAAACAAATGTCATCCACTTTTTTTTAAAAAAGCACATTATCATTTTACAGTGGTTACTGTTATAATAGAGCATACCTACTTGTGTAAACAAGTGATTACAAATGGAACAAAAGAAAGTGTGTTACTGCGATAGTATATGTGTGTTTAACCATGTTGCAAAGATGTTTTTGTTAAGTTTTGCAGTTCATAAAGTTATCTTAGATTTATGTCAAGACATACTCAAGGCCAAATGATCAACACTTAGAGATTGCTAATTTTGAAAAAGTCAAAATATTATTTAATTACTTGAAAAGCATGCAAATTGAATATTTCTAGAACAGTCATTTTTCTTCTCTATTTTCACTAGAGGTGGCCAATATTGTGGTTTGTTCTTTTTTGTCTAGTTTATAAATGTATTAAAGAATAAAATGTAGTTGATTGCAACCATAAATACTGGTAGACTGCACATATTATCATTAAATTAATTTGGTACTTTGGTATAAAAGAAATAAAGATGGTTCATTTGAGCTCAAAGTTGTTTATGTACTGGTAGATGGATATGCTTGTTGAAACAGTATTAATGAAGTGTTAAAATTAAAATAAGACAGAGATATGAAAGGTGTCAAGGAGTATACTTGCCAAAATTGTCTCTACATGAAAGTTGTTTGTGTTTTTTTTTTTTTCAAATACAAAATTAAATTACAAAAGGATATAGTTTGTGTTCTCCCCTTTTCTTCCTTGTTCATGAACCTTGATTTTAACATGCAAATCAAAGTCATTGCTTCTGGAAGTAGTGCTTGGTGCTCAGTCGTGTAGTGTTCAAAGCTTAATGAAATCTAACATAGTTTGAGTATTTTGAAGTACCAAATTAAGTGCTAGATGAAAACTTTTAACAAGTAAAGGAAACACTAAAACGTATCTTCAGCTAGACAATTAAATAAATCAATAAGTAAAGTATCTGTTTAATCTTTAAATATTTTGTAGCTGAAGTAACTGCAGAGGACAACTGCAGCACTTCCTCTTAACTGGCAGTTCATTGATATATTGAGAGAATGAACATAAATAGAATGATTTGATAGGATTAACTCAATTTGAAAAGAACATTATATGGGTTCTTGAGGTTTCTAGAAATAGAGCAGAAGGATTATGTAAAAAAAAAAAAATTAGGAAATCAATTGCAGTTAAACAATTTAATTTTATGATATTGGAACAGACTCTGAGACATATGTATATTGGCATGGCCACCTTTATGAAAGTATATAGGCCTATTTTGATTTTCTAGCCTCCTGGTTCATATTTAAATGGCGCAAAATAGACCTTCACTTTGTGATTTATCGAATGGGATCTGCAAATAATTCATGTACTTTTGTCTTGTACTATTATGATGCAATGTGACAAAACTCGCTATAATTTATGATATAAACAAACAATATACTATTTGTAGATGTATGTCAGAGTGTGATTAAAGTCTGTCCGTCTGTTAGTGGTAAGATTGTTACTGCGAAGAGTGTTTGTCACCTTTTTTATAGTACCAAATTTTTAAATGCACAATAAAGCACATACTAGCGATAAGTAAGAAACAGAAAAGACATGAAACACCTTAGAAATATATTGTGATTCTCATCGCAAAGTGAAGGTACTAGGCACATAACATATGTAATCGTTATCAGTATAGATGTATGAAATAGAAAAATGTATATCTTTAAGAGTAAGAAAAGTGCATACCATTTTCTGGACATGGTGCTTCAAATGTGAAATATGGTACTTAAAGTGTGCAGTGTTATGAGAAAAAAGTGTTTTGTTTGTATATATTTGTTGTCTACTTTTTGATTAACTCAAATGGTGTATGTGAAGGAAATGTTCCAGAAATAAGAGCAATCATTAGCATTTACTATTAATTTTATTGTTACTATCTGTGAAAGCTCTCTGTCATGCTAAAGAAAATAACTCAGTCCTTATTTCAGTTTACAATATCAACCAATGTTTGCCAAGCCCCCTCCTGTATAATCATGTACTTCATTTTTGAGGGACATGATATACACTGCATTGTATGTGAAATGAAGCCTTCCTTTAATGACAGACATATCTCATTGTTCATGAATTTTAATGAAATTCCATTGATTCAGAGCAGAACTAGCCAGGTCCTTTTTATAAGCTACATGAAAAAAGATCTTGACTGCAAGCATTAATCAGTTGTAAGAAATAAGACTGACGGAAGAAACATAAGAACAGGCTACTTGTATCGGGTGCTTTATAGTTGTTAGAACTATTCTAATAATTGCCTTGAAGATTAAGAAAAGCAGCAAAACATCCAGTCATTAATTGCAGTCATATGATATAATTCTTGGAAGATAAAATTGCAAGGCGTATAAACAAGCACCCACAGGTATTCAAAACATTATTCATTTCCAAACTATGTAGAAGACGAATTATCAAAATGCACTATTTGCAAAATAAATAAATGTGATAATATTCTCTGTTGAACAAGATCATTACCTGAATCAGTGTCAGATTCAGGGTTGCACTTGTAGAAATATTCAGAATGCTAATGGGAACAGTTCTTTATTGCTATTGTTATTGTTGTGTAATTGTTGTGCACACATTTCATTAAAAAAATGTTTAAAAAATTTAATTTGTCTACTTACCAGGAGTATTAAGATTATAACCTTTTACAATACTTCTACGTAATATTATCTCCCTCCATTTTCACCTTCAGTTTCTGAAAAATGTTGTTCAAATATGTATTTCTAGGAATCAATCACATTTTCTTTTTATTATTTTAGTTACATGTATAAAAGTGCAGAAGTACTGGTCTTGCTGAACAAAATTAAAATTGAGTGTTTAAATTAATCTCTCAAGTAGTTACTACTTGAAATTCACTAGTAATAAAATCCCAAAATAAACCATTATGAATTTACAATTCCGAACAGATTTTCCAAATGTTAATTTCCCGTTTATATATAACATAAGTTGCAGACTCCAAATATTACCCTCAAAATCCTGCCTGTGGTTGGGGCCTTTTTTCTCTAAGACAGACATTGGCTAATTCTACTCCAATCCAGTCATATTTTCTTGGTACCAGTATATTGCTCTCCACTGGGGCTGTCATCCTCAACTAAAATGTATTTTATGTTCTTAATACTGGTTTTGTTGATAAAATGTTTTAAATTTTAGAGAAGAAGTGTCCAATTAATGGTATAAAATTAGGATTTAATAAGAGAAAATATATCAGTGTTTTAGATTGCTGGACAGTTCTATATTTAAAAAAGTCTTTTAATTCCTTTCAAAATAATTTGCGCACTGCTAGTCATCAAATGTCCATAAATGTCATTTTAGTTAATGTTTCCATATTATTAATTTAGCAATAGATATCATGTGTCTTAATAATAATGGGTACTCTTTTGCTTCAGAATTGGAATTCAAGTACATGGAAGTGGTGCTTTCTTGCTGCCAAATTATATATTAAAGAATTCATTCTTAAGCACAAAGTATGGGTCTGAATATTTAGTGCTGGTATGTGTTTTAGCTTACTCCCTTCAAGTTGTCAGTATTTCACAAATTTTGAAAGATCATTAAAGATGTATTTTTTAAAACAATCTGTGCCTTAGCAATTGCAGAATGGATTGATTGCAGATTTTAGTTGCATGGAAAAATAAGAGTTGAGATTTTAATATAATTCTTGATACATATCAAGAAATGTACATTGAGTTAACATCAATAATTTGTGAAGTAAATTGATGCAGTGATGGCTGAAATGTTTGTTTCATTTTGTCTCCTTTTCTGTGAAGCAATGTATACATATTTTGAGTATTAATGGACAGAGATGTAAGGGTATACATTTTTAAGAATTCAGTTCAAAGCATTGCTGTGTCTAATTTTATGTACCAGCAATGAATCTCTGTTGTCTATCAACTCATCTCTTCTTTCAATGTGTCATTATGCTTTGCAATAAAAATACTTCTTGTTACTAGAACTTCACTACAGTATTTGTTGTATTAGGATTACTAGCCTAATGATTGCACAAACAATTTTTGTGAATTAATTTCTTTGGGTTTTTGATATCTCATAAAATACATGTAATGCTAATTGTGTCACCAATATGCTGCTAATTGTTCAAATGTTGCAACTGTCTTTGATCTTGATATTCTACAACTTCAACACATTAATCCCAGAATTTGGTATATTTTGCTGTTATTCTTTATTTATGCATTGGGTGAACCATTATGTAGGCCTATGGTATCTTTGTACTTTTGGTGACATTAGTAGAAATGACATGGAAGTGCTTTTTATGAGGAATTCATAATCATTGATACACATAATAGGGCATTTTTGTCCTTGATCAAAATTTGTATGTGATAAGGGCTGTCATTGTACCACTCACATCCCCCAAAATATATTGAACATTAATAAGGAGGAGTATATTATTGTAGTGAAACTGAAATTCCAACACCTTTAACTTCCTTTACTTAGTCTCCTTCACCAGGTGTAAAAGTGTGTTCAACAGATTTTCATATTTCTACCAGAAGAGAGAATGTAAAAACAAAACTGCATTATAATTTTTGAGAGATTGGTGCCCTTTATTTAATGAATAAATAGACCAGTGTTGTCATAGGTAATACCACAAATGCTTTGGAAATTGTTGATGAACTCCCGACATGCAAAATAAGGAGGGGATTTATCTGAGAATTTCCGAAGCACAAGTGGTATTTAACAGGACTATTCCACAAGTGAAATTGTCCAACAGAGTTCCAAAATGCACCAAATATTGAAAACAACTGAAAGCTAAGTTAAAATCACATACGATACACCAATCGATGTAGTATACCACCACGTAAAACAGATGAGTCACAGTTTATGATTGTCCAGTAGGGGGAAGTGGTAAGAAAAATTGGATAGAAAAAGTGATAAACTTTTTTAGATACACCACCCTGATTGGGGCATTTTGTATGTAGAGTTAAACACCATTAGTTATTATTTCATGAGTGGAATAGTTTAGGAAAAGTTTTATAGCTTAAGCACTTTCTGATCATGTAGCAATTACCATCAGAGCTGAAAAATTTACAAAAAAAAAAATATAACATGTACGTATTGACAGAAAAAGAACAAATTAAAATTGAAAATAAATGTATCTAGATATAACAAGTGTAATGTGAAATAAAAAAGATACATTGAATAAAACTGTAGTAAAATTGTTTTTGTAAAATAGTTAAAAGTGTACTAATAAGCTTGTGCTCACTAAGTGGAAGAACAAAATTCTGCAAATTTGGAGGGGTATTTGAAATTTTTTATTCATACAAGGAGGCAATGGGGGTGAGGGTCATGGGAGGAGTGACCACATGGAGGAAGGTCCTCAAATATGCAGGTAAAGGTGGGGAAAGTGTTAAAAAAAAAATTAATAATGATACTAGTGAAAATAAAAATGTGTATTTAATTTTCATTGGTTCATTTTCTATCAATCTGTTCGAAGTTAATGAATTTTGTATATTTTCAGCTGTTGTATATTTCATGTTATGTATATTGCATCTGCACAAATTTGTAAATAAATTTGATTTGTTCAGTTTTTCACAAACTGTTTCTGGTTTATAATTAACGTAAATTTTTCAGCTCAGGTAATGAATATGCAACTGAAATGTGCTTAAGCTATTCACCACTATATTACCAGTAAATTAATCACAATATTTTTAAATTTGCTAAAACACTGAATTTCCTTTTTCACAACTTGATCAGAACAAAGGCATAAAATATTAAATGTTTTGTAACATAAAAACAAAGTTTATTAGATTGTTAATTTTAAGTAAGGTGTATTTTTTATAACATATTAATCATATAAAATGAAGGACATACATATTACAAACAAATAGAAAAATATGAAATGTTATATTTTATTTTAAATATAAATGTTATATTGTATTTGGACATTTTTGCAAACCCAAAAGGCCTGGGTGATTAGACGTGTAATGTAAGCATCTCTATCCATCAGAACACTACATCATATCTTCGGGAGGACATAAATGTGTCTTGTCTTTGGTGTGATGAGCATGTTTTAAGGAATGGCAAAGGCGTGCAGCATGAGCTAATAACTTTTAAATAATTTCAAAAATTGAAACTTTTTTTCTTAACTCTATTTCTGGAGCAATTCAATTTAAATGAAACAAATCCTCTGAAATGGCTTTTTATTTTTTCTTTATTTAATATCAAGGTCAGTGAAAAACAGTGTTTATGACACCGAAAAGAAAAACAACATTTTTTAACGTGTTTACCTGAAGCCCGCAGTTGTGTGTTGAGGAAATAGAGTTTGAACCACCCCATGGAGTAGAAGTACATCACATTACAAAGATTATTCCTCCATGATGTGATGGTTCGTCCACCATGATGAAGGTTTTCATACTATATGTTAAACAACAATTGTAAGTGTTGTTGAATATTGACCTGGACATTCAAATATTTTGTAGACTTTGGTATGCAATGGCTAGGACTTTCTCTTGAATTAAGGATCAGCCCTTCACCTTCCATTTTCTGTGTGTTGATCCAGCTTTCTTGGAGGGAAAATCTGTATGCACGCATTGAGCAATAAATTGTTAAGTTTGTTGAAAATTGCATGTTGTTTGATTAATTCATTATTCAGACATCAGTGTTTTGGAAAAGGCAGCGCCTATCCTGATAAATATGTACAAAGTAGCAATGGCAGCTTTTGTTAAGGTTCACAAGAGCACATTCACCACCATTAATTGGAACATTTGTAAATGTACAAGAAGATATTAATAATCATCACAGTATAATGTAATTGTTTTAGGCACAAATTATTTTAAGCTCTCAGCTAATCAACAAATGTCTATTTTCTTCCCATGTACGAGATCGTTTGCATGGCGCGCAGGTGCATGGAACCCGTCAAGGTATGTACGAAATTGCTATTTATTAATACAATAACGTAACCCGAGTGATCATGAAAACTGGCACATGTCAATGCACTTCGTTTGAGGCTTACGTGTCAACCCGCTATGGGGAGGGGGCGTCATTCTTTTCGGACATTGGCGAGGAAACTGGAGGAGACCAAGGTCCGTGCCCCCCCCCCCCCC